TACCCCCCCTTTTGGCACGGCGCTCTGTTGTTTTCTCTCTCTCTCTCTCTCTCTCTCTCTCTCTCTCTCTCTCTCTCTCTCTCTCGTGTGTCTCTCTCTGGCTGGCCTGGAACTCACAGAAATCTGCCTATCTCTGCCTCCCATATTCTGGAATTAAAAGTGTGCAACCCTGTTTTCTAAAACCTGCTGTATCCAGAATGGACCACTCAACTGGGCTCCTGAAGCACTTTTATCACCTTCAGGCTATGAAACTTAAACTACAAACTCTACTGTCTACTCCCTCTTCTAAAATGGAGCTCAGTTCTGGCCTCACTGGAATCTTGGAAAGAGTCAAGCCCCTACTCATATACATTAGCAGGGATCTATGCATTCCAGAAAAGGTGTGAGGAAGGATCCAGGGTGTTGTTTGAAATGCAATCTTGTTATATAGCCCAGGTTGGCCTGAAATTCCTGATTTTCCTGCCTTAGCCACCTAAGTGCAGAAGACAGGGTCTCCCTGTAGCCCCAGCTGTCCTGGAACTCACTATGTAGACCAGGCTGGCTTGAAATCACAGAGATCGGCCTGCCTGTGCTTCCCAAATGCTGGGATTAAAGGTGTGCACCACCACTGGGTTTTTTTTTTTTTTTTTTTTGAGACAATGTCTCTCTAGCCCCAGCTGGCCTGGAACTCATTATGTAGACCAGGCTGGGATTAAAGGCATGTGCCACCAAAACTGGCTTCCTAATAATTTTTGAAAATTTGAACTAAACAGGAACTATATCACAGTTGAAGGTGTACTGTGTTCTCTATGGAGGGAATAAATTTGATAGTGTATTAAATTGCTGGTTAGTCAGCATTTATTTAACTGACTTTTCATCTCAGTTTTCATGTCAGTTAGTGGGACACTTTCTATCTTATCAACTGGGCTAGAAAATGGCCCCTTTCTGGCCAGTCATTAATTCCTTCAAGTTCTACAGTCTTTCTGTTCCCATACCTCTCTCTCTACCCAGGCACTATTTTTAGTTTTTGTGCATGAGTATAATGCCTGCATGTGTGTTAAGTGCATCCATATCATGCAATGCCAGCAGAGGTCAGAAGAGGGCGTCAGATTTCCCTGGAACTGGAGTTATGAGCTCCCATGGAGTTGTTAGCTGCCATGTGGGTGATGGGAACTGAACCCGGGTCCTCTGCAAGAGCAGCCAATATTCTTGACTGCTGAGCAATCTCTGCAACCCCCTCAAAATTTTTGACGTGTGTGTGTGTGTGTGTGTGTGTGTGTGTGTGCATGAGTTTGTGCACTGTGTTGTACATGTGGAGGTCAGAGGACAACTTCTGGGAGTCAGTTGTGGGAACTGAACTCAGGTCTTCATACTTGGTGGCAAGCACCTTTACCTGCTGAGACAGCTCCCTGGCCTCCAAATTAACTTTTCTATTGTTTTTCTTTTGGGCTCTTTGAGACAAGGACTCATTCTGTATCTCTGGCTAACCTGGAACTTGCTATGTAGACCAGGCTGGCCTTGAACTTGTGGCACTTCACTTCTGTGCCTCCCAATTGCTGGAATGACAGGCATGTGCCACTGTGCCCAGCCCCACATTGGGTTTTCAAAGTATAAATAAATATGGTGGAAGAGCCATTGGTGTTTTCCTTTATCTGCCTAGGTGAAGCCTAAATGTTGTATCCTTTCATGCATCCTTTAAGACCTTTATCTGTTACAGTGCCTTTTTCTTTTTGAGACAGGGTCTCCCTCTAGTCCTGGTCTAGAGCTTGCTATGTAGACCAGGCTTGCCTTGATGTCACAGAGATCCACCTGCCTCTGCCTCCCAAGTGCTGGGATTAAAGGTTCCATCATGCTTGGCCCAGTGCTCCTTTCTTGCCCTCCTTTTTTGTACTTTTAGTGGTAGCTCAAAGATCATCCTTTCTGACTTCTGACACAGTCCTTCCCCTGCCCATCTTGGATCCCTACCTCTTTGCCCCTGACTTTTACTATGCATTCTTAGTGGACAATATATGACTATTGTCTGGCTCTTAGGCTTTCTACCCTGTCCTTGAGGATATAACCTAAAACATACAGGCTAATTTTTTTTTTTTTTTTTGGTCTTTTTGAGACAGGGTCTCCCTGTAGCCCCAGCTGGCTTGGAACTCACTATGTAGACCAGGCTGGGCTTGAACTCACAGAGGTCCGCCTGCCTCTGCCTCACAAGTGCTAGGATCAAAGGTGTGCACTACCACACCCGGCCTTAATTTTTTTTTTTTAATGACTTGGTACTTTGTGTAGGCCAAGCTAGCCTCAAACTTGTGATCCGCCTACCTCAGCATGCACCCAGCTCAGCCCTGGTTAATTTTTATTGAAATAATTGAGGGCTGGGGAGATGGCTCAGTTGGTAAAGTGCTTGCCATGCAAGCATGAAGACCTGAGTTTGATTGCTAGATCCCATATTTAAAAAAGAACCAGGTGCAGCAGCCTGTGCCTATAATCTCGGTGCTGGGGAGAGGACAGGAGGATCTCTAGGGCTCACTGGCCAGCTAGTCTAGCTGAATTGGCAAGCTTCACATTCATTGAAACCTCATTTCAAAAATAAGGTGGAGGAGTGATTGAAGAAGACACCTGATATCTACCTCTGATCTTCTCACATAGGCACACATGAGCTAACACGGAGGTCTATCCCAATGGGGCTTCTCCATAGCCACACATGGTTGGAAATGCTTCATACACTAACTCTGTGGTTTTGCTTGACTCACAGGACTGTTACTTAGGTCTTTGGGAACTGCAAGACAGTTAAAGTATGAAAGACAAATTTGTTTTCTTACTTTAGGTAATGGTATAGCCTACAGAACTGCAGTGTTCCCAAGTGTTACAGTTAGGAATAAGTGTGGTCTGAACTCATTCATGTTAAGAGACATGAGCTATCAATAATTGAAGAGCAGACCATCTGTCCTAAATGATAGAGAACTTTGAGTTTGATATGTCCTTAATCCAAGCAGAGATAAAAGAATTGTGGCAAGGCAGACAACACAGCTGGGCTAAGCATCAGTTTTCAGAAAGAGCCACCTTCTATTTCTTATTAAGAGTCCTGTTTCATTCAGCACTGGTCATTTATTTTATTGCAGAAACATTTGAGTCTCTAGACTTGGTTCTGGCTGAATATGCTAGATTGGATACTTGTTGCTGTAGCTTGAATATGGTCTATGTCTTCGCCCCACCCCACATTTCATATGTTGGGAATTTAGTCCCAGGGTGATACTATTGGGAGGTGATAGAACCTTTGGAAGGTGGGAATTATGGGAGGGCCTTGGGTCATTGCAGGCTTACTCTTCAGAGGTGATTGTGAGAGCATTGCTATAAAGGACCAAGCTTGGGACTGGGAGCTAGATCAGCAGTAAAGAGCTTGCCTATGCCTAGCAAGGACCTGGTTTAGTTCTCCCCTCCCTCCACTCACAGCAAGCCTGTCCCTCCTCTGGCTTCTGCTCTACTCCTCTTTGTGATAACATGTGCTTGTTCCTGCACATAGACATTGTCCACACCATAACATGATGTTGCCAACGAGGTGACTTTCACTACAGTGCCTGTTCTATACAGTTTGGACTTTTTTTCCTATGCTGGGCAGCAAACACAGGACCTTTTGCATTTGAGGTAAGCATTTTACAACTGACCTACACCCCAAGCCCTTAGTTTATGTGAAAATTGTTCCACGGCATTATATTTACTCGTACAAAACACAAACATGGTATTTCTGCTGTAGTGGTTCAGCATTGCATAGATTCTATGTCTAATATTTATGTAGTTGCTTTTTCCTTTTTTGGCAGGTGAGATGTCCCATCATGATGTTCTGGATGCTGCTTCCAAAGGAATAAATGTCATCCTTTGTGAACATAGCAACACTGAACGAGGCTTTCTTTCTGACCTTCAAGAAATGCTGGGTGCTCACTTGGAGAATAAGATTAATATTATATTATCTGAGACAGACAGGGACCCTCTTTGTGTCGTTTAAAATACACAGGAATGTCACGGGGACACAAGCTGCACATCATTTGGATGGAAACATGAATTTGCAGCCTGCATTGGTGGTGTGGCTACTCTTCTGAAGAAGTGTCTTAGAATGATTTATTGCTGTCATTAACCTGGATCACCAAATGTTATAGCTCATAAGGTAAAAACCACAGAGTAACAACATTAAATATTCATTGTAAACTCTTGGGAAAGGTTTCTTGGCAAATAAATAGGGTGTGTTAATCTCAATTATTTCTGCCATTGGTTTATTTTAAAACATTTTTTAATAATTTTTTTTGATTTATTTATGTGTATGAGTGCTTTGTCTGCATGTATGCAAGTGAATGTACCTGTGTCATGCAATGCCTGCATAGGCCAGGAGACAGTGTTGGAGCCCATGGACCTGGAGTTACAGATGGCCGTTAGCTGCCATGTGGGAAATGAACCTGGGTCCTCTGGAAGAGCAGACAGTGCTCTTAATTACTGACCTGGGTCCTCTGGAAGAGCAGCTAGTGAATCACTGAGCCATCTCTCCAGCCCCCAAATATTTTATTTTTTATTTTATGTGTGAGTGTATTGCCTGCATGTGTGTATGTGTACCCACTTCATGCAATGCCTGAGGTTAGAAGGCAGCTTCTGAATCACTGGAACTGGAGTTAACAGATGGTTGTTAGTTGCCATGTGGGTGCTGGGAATTAAACCTGGGTCCTCTGCAAGAGCAGCCAGTGCTCTTAACCATTGAGCCATCTCTCCAGCCCCTAAAACCTAGTTTAAAAATGGGGCTGGGTATAGTGGTACACACCTATAACTCCAGTATTTGGGAAGCAAAAGCAGATTATGAATTTAAGCCCTGCCTGGGCTACATAACCTTGAGACCCTGTCTCAAAACCAAAACAAAAGGGACTGGAGAGATGTCTCAGCAATTAAGAGCTCTTGCTGCTTATGTAGAAGACCCAAGTTCTGTTTCCAGCACCCATATGATGGCTCACAGTGCACATAACCCCACCTTGAGGGGATTTGACACCCTCTTCTGATCTCTACAGACACCAGCGCTAGTGTATATATCCATACACAGATATGCACCCTTACACATAAAATCTTTATAAAAGATAAAAGACAAAACAAGTCTTTGACTTACAGATCTCTGAGAGATCAAGGCCAACTGGTCTACATAGTGAGTTCCAGGCCACCTGGGGCTACAGGGAGACCCTGTCTCAAAAAAAGACAGGAAAAAGAAAAAAAAAAAAAGAATAAGGCTTGACTGGGGCCGGAACGATGGCTCAGGGGTTAAGAGCACTGGCTGCTTTTGCAGAGGACCTGAGTTCAATTCCCAGTACCCATATGGGGCTAACAACTGTAACTCCAGTTCCAGGGAATCCAATGTCCTTTTCTGACCTCCAAGGGCATTGCATAACAGGGGTGCACTTACACACATGCAGGCAATACACTCATACATATAAAAATGAATATTTTTTTTCAAAGAAAGCCTTAGCCGGGTGTGGTGGCACATGCCTTTAATCCCAGCACTTGGGAGGCAGAGGCAGGTGGATCTCTGTGAGTTTGAGGCCAGCCTAGTCTACATAGTGAGTTCCAGGCCAGCTGGGGCTACAGGGAGATCATGTCTCAAAAAGACCAAAAAAAAAAGCCTTGTGAGCTTAGATACTTTTTTCTAGATTTCTAGGCAGCAACCTCTTTGGGGTGATGAGGTCTGTCTATGTGTCTTAGGGTAAGTTCAGTATCAGGAGAGGTTTGTTTTGCTTTTTAAAAAATGATACATGGGGCTGGAGAGATGGCTCAGCAGTTAGGCTAAGAACCATCCATAACTCCAGTTCCAAGGGAATCCAATGCCCTCTTCTAACCTCCTTGGGGAATGCATACATGGGTGCATTTACATACATGTGTAATAGGGCACCTTCTTGACCATAGCTATGTCGTGTTAAAGTTTAGGCCGACTCCAGTCTCTCCAGGTAATTGGCCCAGGGTATGGGAACACATGTCAGCTGAACCCTGGTTGTCTCAGAACAGGTCAGTGTCCTGGAGTGCACCTACTAACTGCAGATTTATGGCTTCTGTAGGTAATGCTTGGCTTGCTTTTACAAAATAGTAATTGTTGCTTAATAGAACAGAAATTGTTAAGGGGACTCTCTACCTGTAAGCTTGAGAACTTAAACTTTTCACCCTTGGTTATGTTTTCTCTGTATAAAAGCTTACCCTAAAGATGACTTGGTGCTACACAGTTGGGTTCCTGACAGCCTTGTGTAGTGGCCCTCAACAGTAACGACTTTCATTTGGCAAAACTTTGAGTGGTCATCTCTGGTGAAGCACCCCACAAAACATGCAGATAATACACTCTACACATAAAATGAAAATAAAATATTAAAAAAGTGTTTAAAAATGTACATAGATAACCAGGCATGATATACCTTTAATTCCAGTATTTGAGAGGCAGAGACAGGAGGATCTCTGAGATTGAGGTCAGCCTGGTCTACATAGTGAGTTCCAGGCTGGCTGGGGCTACAAGGAAACCCTGTCTCAAAAACAACTGGGGTTGGAGAGATGGCTCAGCGGTTAAGAGCACTGATTGCTCTTGCAGAGGACCTGGGTTCGATTCCCAGCACCCACATGGTGGCTACAAACCGTCCTTAACTCCAGTTCCAGGGGCATCCGAAGCCCTCTTCTGACCTCCTCGGCATTGCACAACACGGGTGCACTTACTTACATACAGGCAATACACTCATACACATAAAATAAAAATAATAAAATATTAAAAAAGAAACAAAATCAACGCCTACAACTGGCTGGAGACATGGCTCAACTGTTAAAGAGTACTGACTGCTTCTTTCAGAAGACCCAGGTTTGAATCCCAGCACCCACATGGCAACTAACACCCATCCATAAATATCATAATATGTAAATAGCCTCAACTCACTAGTAGAGTTGCAGATTGCTTGGCTACATTGAAAAGCTAGAACCAACTATCTATTGCCTCTAAGGAATACACCTCTCTTGTTAAGACACACATATACAGTCAAAGGATGGAAAATAAAGTGAATGGAAGCAAAAACCAAGCTGGCACAGCTTTCCTGATACCTGATAGGCTTCAAATTAAAATCAGTCATCAGATATAAAAAAAGACCACTACATATTAATGGAATAATTCATCAAATCTTTCACCAAATCTGTAACAATTTATATATATATCCATATCCCCAATGTTGGGCCTCCAATTATAGAAACCAAACATTAATATTAGACACAAAAAAATCAGACAGGTCCTGATACAATAATAGTGGGTGATTTCAACACTCTACTTGATAATTATCCAAATTTAAAAAAAAAAGCATCAGAATTAAACTATACCACTGTACTGGTTAGCTTTTATTGTCAACTTGACAAGCCTAGAGTCGCCTGGGAAGAGGGAACCTCAATCAAAGCATTGCCTTGATCAGATTGGCCATGTCTATGAGGAATCATCTTGACTGATGACTGATGTGGGAGCCCACTGTGGGTGGCACCAGGTGTGGCTGGGCTATATAAAAAAGCTAGTCAGCAAGCCCAAGTATGAGCCAGTAGTGCTCTGCCATGGTTCCTGCCTCCAGGTTCCTGCTGTGAGTTCCTGTCTGACTTCTCTCAAAGACGGACTGTGACCTAGAAATATAAGATAAAAATAAACCCTGTCCTCACCAACCCCCACCTTCCAAGTTGCTTTTGGTCCTGGTGTTTGTCATAGCAACAGAAAAACTGTAACAACCACAGATGAAATGGACTTAACATATATATATATATATCCATACCTCATCTAATACAGAATTTACATTCTCAACATCTCATGGTGTCTAAAATAGAAATAGATCTTCTATTCTAAAATAGACATTATAGGGCAACAAATCAAATCTTAACCAACTACAAAATCAAAATAATTTCTTGCATCTTATCAGATCATAATACAATAAAACTGGCTACCATTAGTTACGAAAAACTAAAACTACATGATAAATGGAGACTGAGCACACTAAGAAATATTTTTTTATTAAAATTTTTTATTTTTATGTGTACAAGGGTATTGCTTGCATGTATGTAGGTGCATTCATGTTGTGCAATGCCCACAGAGGTCAGAAGAAGGCATGAGATCCCCTAGATCGGAGTTACCACCATGTGGGTGCTGGGAACTGAACCCAGGTCTCTGCAAGAGCAGCTAGTGCTATTAAGCACTGAGCCATCTCTGTAGCCCCCGCAACACACTCTTGAATGACTAGTCATGGAAAAAAAAAATCAGGGAAGAATTAAAAATTTCCTAGAACCAAAGGAAAATTAAAGTACACAGTTAAGCCAGCTCTAGGAAGAAAGTTTATAATTATGAATACTTATATTTAAAAAAAATCATAAAAGAGACTGGTGAGCTGGTTCAGTAGGTAAAGGTGTTACCACCAACCCTGAGGACCCTGAGTTCAATCTTCAGAGCCCACATAGTGAACTGGTTCCTGCCAGTATCTTCTGACTTCAATACATGTACTGTGGCACATGCATGGTTATGCACACATGTGGGCACGCACACACTAAACAGATGTAATAAAAATTTTTAATCAGAAAAGATATCAAATAATCTATGGATGCATAACAAGTCTTAGAAAAAATGAGAACAATCCAAACCCTAAAGCAGCAAACAGCAAAAAATAATGAGGGCAGAATTTAATGAATGGAGACTAAAAAGAACTAACCAAATAATGTGTGCATTCTTTGAAAAAAATAAACAAGATTGACAAGTCCCTAGGCAAACTAACCAAAAGAAAAAGATGATCTCATTAATAAAATTAGAGATGAGAAACGGGAAGTACTATAAATTCCAGTGAAATTTAGAGAATCATTCTGGAATACTTTGAAAAACATAGTCCAAAAAACTAGAAATTTCTAGAACGATGAACAAATTAGCAGACACACAGGAACTAACAATTTTTTTTTTTTCTTTTGAGACAGGGTTTCCCTGTAGCCCCCAGTTGGCCTGGAATTCACAATGTAGATCAGGGTAGCCTTGATCTCAGAGATCTACTTGCCCCTGCCTCTCAAGTGCTGAGATTAAAGGCATGGGTCACTTCACTTGGCTGAACTACGGAAATTAAATCAAGATGATATATACAAGTTAAATAGATCCAAAACAATCATTGACATTGAAGCACTAACTAGTAAATTCCCCCAACAAAGAAAATGCCAGGAGCAGATTCTACCAAATCTTAAAAAAACTTTCCTCCCTGATTTCTTTCATGACACACTGGTAATTCAAGTGTATTGTTTATCAACAGTAATGTCTATTAATAAAAATTACAAAAAATAAACTTGTAGATATTGAAGGGCAAATGCAAAAACATGCACAGTATGTAATTAGATGTTTTTTATATCTTCATATTGTAACAGTTACAATAAACTAGATTAAGCAAAAATGCAAGGTACATGGGGCTGGAGAGAGAACTCAGTGGGTAACAGTGCTTGCTCTGTAAGCATGAGAACCTGTCTGAATACCCAGCATCCATGTAAAAAGCTGGGTGTGTAGGTGCAATCCCTTTAATCCCAGCACTTGGAAGGCAGAAGCAGGTGGATCTCTACCAGTTTCAAGGCCAGCGTGGTCTACATAGTGAGTTCCAAGCCAGCTGGGTCTACAGGTGGACCCTGTCTCAAAAAGACAAAAAAAAAAAAAAAAAAAAAAAAAAAAAAAAAAAAAAAAATCTGTGTGTGTGTGTGCATGTAATTCCAGCAGCCAGCTTCCAGCCCTGTATAAACCAGCAAGTTTCATGTTATTAATGTGATTTAATATTACTTTGCTTTGTTGAGACAGGATATCACTTGTAGCCTAGTCTAGAAGTTATCAAGTAGTCCAGGTTTGTCTTAAACTCATGGTTTCTTCCTGCCTCAGACTCCCTGGTGTTGAGATTGTAGGTATAAACTACCACGTATTGTTACTATTGTTTTTTTTTTTTTAATCTTTTTGAGACAGGGTCTGCCTGTAGTCCCAGTTGGTTTGGAACTCACTATGTAGACCAGGCTGGCCTTGAACTCACAAAGATCCGCCTCTTCTGCCTCCTAAGCACTGGGACACCATGCCTGGCTACTATTGTATTTTTGAAAGGAGAGACATTCTTTTCTTTTTTTTTCCTTTGCAGACAGGCTCTCCGTGTAGCTCCAGCTGGCCTGGAACTCACGAATCCACCTGCCTCTGCCTCCCAAGTGCTGGAACTAGAGGTGGGTGCCACCATGGCTGGCTTCAGACATTCTTACAGGTAAGACTATTTCTGGAAGAATACTTAAGAAACTGCTATCAGTGGTTGCCTGAAGGGCTGGGGATAAGAAAATGAGAAGGAAAAACGAAAGAAAATGAGAAGGGGGAAAAAAAAAGAAAGAAAATGAGAAGGAAATTAATTTTCCTTGAATATCCTTTAGTATTAACAAAAGACTTTTAGGATTGGTGAGATAGCTCCATGGGTAAAGGTGCTTGCTGCCAATCCTGATGACTTGAGTTCAATTCCGTTGTCTTCTGACTTCCACACATGGGCTGTGGTGTAAGTAGCCAACAATAAATCAGCATAAATAAGAAAAAAAATCAAATTGTACTCATGGACAAACTTGCTTACATATTTTAACTAGCCACTAGTTATATTTAAACTTTTGTGGTTTTTTGACACAAGGTCTCCCTGTAGCCCCAACTGGCCTGGTACTGCCTAGGTAGACCAGGTTGGCCTCAATCTCACAGAGATCTGCCTATATCTGACTCCTAAATGCTGAGATTAAAAGTGTGTACCACCACACCAGGCTAAAATTAAACCTTTAACAGATCTCATAAAATTATTATATGTGGGCTGGAGAGATGGTTCAGCAGTTAAAAACACTGGTTGTTCTTGCAGAAGACCCGGGTTTGAATCCCAGCACCCACATGGCAGCTAACAACTGTCCGTAACTCCAGTCCCAGGAGATCCGACAGCCTCTTCTGACCTCCGCAGGCATTGCACGACATGGGCGCACTTACCTACATATAGGCAATACACGCATGCACATAAAATAAAAATAATAAAATTAAAAAAAATTATTATATGCCACAAAGAAATTATTTAAAAATACCAAGCATTTCTGGAAATATTTTCATGAAAGAGCTTACAAGATTAGCAATAAATGAACAACACTGAGGCAGTACAGATTTTATTAATGCTATTTTAATGATGAATTTCATTTGCAGGTGTGAAATATTTCAGGATGTATGTGACGACTATAAATTGACAATAATGGCCAAGCTTGGTCTTTTTACTGTTTCTAAGAAAAAAGGCTCACATAAATATTCAGGTTTGAGATCATCAGTTTAGGAAAAAATGGAAGTATCTTACAATGAGTTTTATGTCTGCTTGAGAGAGAATCAGGATCAGCCAACCATTACAGTGCTACCCACCTGCATGTTATTTAAGAAAAATATGCTAATATATACGAATAATGAAATGGTTTTATTTTCTATTGTCCTGAAAACAATTACTAAAATGTAATTCAGGATTTTATTAGCCTGGCTTCTCACTTGTACAATGAAAATCAATATCACAGTCCATAGTTCACATGCTTTCTAGATTGGACACATACTCTAAGTCTTACACTTTTTCCACTATCTCAACTGGATAGTGTCCATCCCTAAGTATACAGCCTCCGTCCATAAGGAGAATGCTGACCACCATTTATACCTTTTCTTGTCATTTCATAAAAGGCAAGAGATGACCTACCTTCTCTGTACCATCACTCTGACACATAGAACACATTCATCAACTCCTGACCTTCTACGTTCACACTCTGGAACATGCAGCACACTTGCGGTAATTCAGCTCTGGGAATGTTGAAAGGCCCTCAAAAAATTAGGAATAACATCTAGTATAAAAGAATTCAAAAACACCCAGTTCCAAATAATCCCTGAGCACACTGTTCATCCCAGAAAGAAGTCTCCAGAGAGTAATAAATTAAAGGCACATTTTTTCCAGTGGACAACCACTGCATAGTACTAGAAATAGTATACCAGCCAGGCTAATCAAAGTTCAAATTGATGAAACCTCCCTTCAATATTCAATCCTGTATGTTAGAAGAACAATTATTTTTGACCAGAGGAATAGCAGCTGGAGTACAATAAACCTTCCACATGAGGTCCAAAGACAGCTTAAACCTCCTCTTCTTCCTTTTCCAAGAAATCAGTCAATGTTCCATTGTCAACAGGAATTAATAAATATTCCACACCATCAGTTCCCTATGAGACATAAAAACACTATATGTTAGTCTCTTGTGAAGGAGGTATTTGGACCTTCCTATTGTTAGCTGTAACAGAAAAACGGATTTCATTTCTTTGAGTCAATATTTTATTTTAAAAAATATTTTATTATTTTAATTTTATGTGTATGAATTTATTGTCTGCATGCATAAAAGTGCACACATGTCATGCAGTGCCCTCAGAGGTCAGAAGTAGGAGTCAGATCTCCTGGAACTAGAGCTACAGATGGTTGCTATCAGAAGTAGGAGTCAGATCTCCTGGAACTAGAGCTACAGATGGTTGCTAACTACCATATGGGTGCTGGGAATCGAACCTGGGTCCTCTGCAAGAGCAGTCAGTACTCTTAACCGCTGAGCCATCTCCCCAGCCCCCATTTGTTAATTTTATGTGTATGAATATATTGCCTGTATGTATGTAAGTGCATCCATGTCATGCAATGCCTGCAGAGGTCAGAAGAGGCTGTCAGATCCCCTGGAACTGGAGTTATGGATAGTTGTTAGCTGCCATGTGGGTACTGGGAACCAAATCCAGGTTCTCTCCAAGAGCAGCCAGTGCTCTTAGCCACTGAACCGTCTCTCCAGTCCCATGATGCATTATTTTAAATAAATACCCAAGTATAAAAATTAAGGCAAAGTGCACAAGACATGTGTGTCCATTTTAAAACAGTGAGATATAATTAAGCCACTTTATAACAGAAAATAAGCATAACTAGAGGGCGAGTAGAGGCTGTTTACATCACTGTGCTTTTGAGCATGTCCAGTCTTTTGACACTGCACACCAGTTATGATCTGTAAAGTTCATGCTTGAGAGCCTAATAAGCCACAAAGTGAAAAACAAAAATTCACTCAAAATCTTATGTTTTCAGTAAGTTAATGGTTTTGTGCTGGGCCACATTCACAGTTATCCTGGGGCCCATATGGCCCATGGGCTGTGGTAGGACATGAATGCTAGGTCCTTCATCCTCCAGCCCTCTTCAGAACCTGAGAGTACTCATTTCTCTGTTCTTTGTTCCTGTTTCAACAAGTTCCTTCCTACTGGCTTTGAATTTAATGATCCCTATTTTAAAATCTTCCAGTCAGGCGTGGTGGTACATGCCTTTAATCCCAACACATGGGAGACAAAGACAGGCCTGTGAGTTCCAGGCAGGCCAGTCTGGTCTACACAGTGAGTTCCAGGCCAGCTGGTGTTACAGGGAGACCCTGTCACCGCCCCCCCTCCCCAAACTTCCATTAGATTCATTCTTCCAACTAGTGCCCTACACATCATCTTTCCAGAGAGTTATCTATAATGTCCATTTCTTCCTTTCGCCACACAGTCCATTCCACATTCCTAAATCCTGGGCATTTCCATCTTCAGCTTCCTGGCCTTTTGGCAGCATCTGACACTGCAGAGTTTTATTCATTTTCTCTTACTCTGGCTTCTGTGGCATCATTTCTTCTTTTTTCTTTCTGGCTATTTCACCCACCCTTGCCTTTGGTAAATAAATATGTACTCATGTTGGGCATGGCGGCACACACCTTTAATCCCAGCACTTGGCAGGCAGAGGTAGGTGGATCTCTGTGAGTTCAAGGACACCATGGTTCTACATATTGAGTACCAGGCCAGCTGGGGCTACAGGGAGACCCTGTCTCAAAAAGACAAAAGAAAGAAAAAAAAAATGTATTCATATCCAATGCTAAAACAGAAGTATTACCTTCTTTGTTCGTATAAGTTTGTGGTCCCTAAATTCAGTTAACTGGGCTCGGAGTGTGAGATCACTGTTGACAAGGAATGCCTCCCGACACCGCTGATAAAAATCTTGGAAAGAAAATCCTGGAGAGTTGAAAAGATGTAAGCATAATCAGTATTTTTAAAATGTAATTAACTGCCGGGTGTGGTGGTGCACGCCTTTAATCCCAGCACTTGGGAGGCAGAGGCAGGCGGATCTTTGTGAGTTCAAGGCCAGCCTGGTCTACATAGTGAGTTCCAGGACAGCTGGGGCTACAAGGTGACCCTGTCTCAAAAAAAAAAAAAAAGTAATTAATTAGTTAATTAATTAATGTGTATGTGATTGTATGTGCATGTGGGTGCCTGCCAAAGCCAGAAGAAGGCATAAGATCAGGCAGCTGGAGTTATAGGTAGTTGTAAGCCATCTGACTGGGTGCTGAGAACCAAATTCCAGTCCTTTGCAAGAGCAGCAAGTGCTCTTAAATGCTGAATGCCCTCTCCAGCCCCATAATTAGCAGTTAATACATGGCCCCATACATAGATATCCATATAAAGAACACTAAGCTGAATTTTGGTTTATGAATTTTAAACAAAATCAACTGCTGAAAGTAATCAATTGTGACCAAGTATGATATAACCTTGTGGGTATTTAAACAGTGTAAATAGAGGACTGGAGAGATAGCTCAGTAGTTAAGAACACTTGCTATTCATCCAGAGGACCTGGGTTCAATTCCCAGCATCCACATGGTAGCTGAAAACCACATGTAGCTCCAGTTCAAGGGGATTCGACACCCTCTTCTGGCCTCTGCAGGGCATTGCATGTAGTGCACTTACACACATGCAGGCAAAACACATACACATTAAAAAAAAAAAACAAAACTGTAAATAAAACTGACTTTTAAGGTGGGAACTAGTATGCAATTACTAGTTTGCATATATCAACATATTATTTTTGCCAAAGGGAGATAAAAAACAAGATGCCTCATATGAAAAATATGTTAATATGTTAATTGGCACAGTCATGGTTACAGTACATGGATTTTATTAAAACACATTATACAGAGCTGGAGAAATGGCTCAGCAGTTAAGAGCACTGACTGTTCTTGCAGAAGACCGGGGTTTGAATCCCAGCACCCACATGGCAGCTAACAACTGTAACTCGAGTTCCAGGGGATCTGACAGCCTCTTCTGTCCTCCGCGGGCATTGCAAGACACGGGTGCACTTACTGACATGCAGGCATAACACATAAAATAAAAATAACAAAAATATTTAAAATACATTATGCTATACATTAACAGGTTTATCATTAAATTCCCACTGGTAAACAATTGATTCAGCAGTATTATCTGTAAAGATGCTTGAAAACTAGCTACAGGTTTGGGCAGACAAACAAACCCACTATGGAACTACAACTCATCATTACTGTGAGAAATGCAAAGCTCTCATTAGATTAAAAAACTGGGCATATTAGAGGGGTAAAGAAAAGTCACAATTAAATATCATAAATAATTTCATACCAATATAGGAAGGGTTATCCTGGTTATCCAGCTGGTACTTTATTAGTAGCCTAAAAATCCCCCTGTGGAGAAAAAATAAGAATTCAAATCAATGGAATAGAAAATGCCAAATACTTAGCCTGGCTTCATTATCTTCTGTTCCTTTCATATCCTTACAGAGGAAAAGCTTTTTTAATCTAGGAATATTTTTCCCCTACTATAAAACTTGTAAGTCTAAAAAGGAAAATATCAATTTCATAACCCTAAGATAACAGCTACTAACACCAAATGTTAAGAACTTATTTTAAGGCTGGGTGTGGTAGCTCACACCTTTAATCCCAGCACTTGGGAGGCGAGGCCAGCCTGGTCTACATAGTGAGCTCCAAGCCAGCTGAAGCTACTGCAAGACCCTGTTTCAAAAAGAAAAAAAGAAAAATCTTATTTTATGTATTTTAAATCTTTTGGGAATGAAGTAGTGCAGAAATAAATTTGTACATTAATAGACTATATATGCCATTTTATATAGCTGGTCTTTAACTCATTTTTATCATGTAATTAAAAAGCTTCTAGTGGTGGTGAGGGACGGGGGAATGAAGAAGAGGATGATCTGGGAAGATGGCTCAGTTGGTAAAATGCTTGCCATGCAAGCATGAAGACCTGAGTTTGATTTCCAGCACCTATGTAAGAAGCTAGGTGTAGCGATAAATCTTTTGTGATCCCAATGACAGGGAGGCAAGAGGCCAGGCTTCCACTCTGCAAGCCCTAGGTCCTAGTGAGCATCTCTGTCTCAAACAAAAGAGTTGACAGTACTTGAGGAACAACAGTACTTGAGGTTCCCTTTTTATGTCTATACACATGTGCACGCATGTACATGTATAGCACACACACACTCAAAAACTTTTTTAAAAAAATATTTATTCTTTATTTTATGTGCATGCATGTATGGCGTGCATGTAGGTAAGTGCACCCGTGTTGTACAATGCCTGCAGAGGACAGAAGAGGCTGTTGGATCCCCTGAACTGGAGTTATGGACAGCTGTTAGCTGCCCTGTGGGTGCTGGGATTTGAACTGACCAGTCAGTGTTCTTAACCACTGAGCCATCTCTCCAGGCCCCACACTCAAAAACTTTTAAAGTCAAACATGAGGTAGATATGCTAACACATCCCCATAGTCCCAGTTGCAAAGAAGTCTGAAGCAAGACTGCTTGAAGACATGAGTTCAAGAGATCTCTAGTTTGAGTAATACAGCAAGAACCCATCTGATACACAAGAAGGAAAATCCAACAAAAACCCTGATTTTTTTCTGATTAGAACTTAGCTGGGTGTGGTGTTGCATGCCTTTAGTCCCAGCACTTGGGAAGCAGAGGCAGGAGGATCCCTGTAAGTTCAAGGTCGGCCTGGTCTACAAAGCCAGCTGAGGCTACAGAGAAACCGCCTAAAAAAGACAAAAACAAAAAAACAAAAACCGAAAGAACTTAAAACACTTTAATTCAGGGAAAAAGAATTATTTATTTTTATTTGGTCTTTTTGAGACAGGGTCTCCCCATAGCCCCTGCTGGCCTGATCATGTCTGTGAGGGATTGTCTTGAATGTTAATAGATACAGAAGAACCCAGTCTACTGTGAGCAGTACCATCCCTAGGCATGTGGTCCTGGCCTCAAATGTATGTGTACATATGTATATCTCTAGATATTTCTATGTGTATACACACACACACACACACACACACACACACACACACACACACACACACTCACACTATTTATAGTTTCATTCTTACCTTGCATTGGGGGTAAGACTTCGTAACACATGAGTCAGAGAACTAAGTGGTAGAGATCCGGATTGTTTAACCAGAAGAGAATTCTCATAGGAAGTTTCTTCAGTGTAAGGATTATATGTAGTAGTTTCATACCAGAGCCAATTATAAAGACTCTGTTTTGCATGATCCCACACTACAGAACACAATCAAAGAAAAGAATTAGAAATTACTGTCATATTATCATGTTACTATATTTTATTTCAGGAAAGAATGATAAAGCATTAAAAGTTTAAAAAGCATCCTAAGGCTAGGTATATAGCTTAGTGGTAAAGTACTTGTTTAAAGCATACAAGGCTCTGTGTGTAAGCTAAAAAAAAAAAAAAATTCTAAAATGTATCATTTTTGTTACTTCTTCATCTAAATCTATAACTCACAATCTGCATTCACTGACAGTTGATATCTGGATTATTTTGTTTTGAGACAGGGTCTCACTAGGTAGCACAGGCTGGCCTCAAATTCACAATCTTTCTGCCTTAGCTTCTTAAATGCTAAGGTTATAAATATGAGACACCTCAGCTGGCTAACATCTGAATTTTTACTTGAATATTTAATACACATTAAAATATCTTAGTATCATCAAGGAATTCTTTGAAAAACTTAATTTTACCTTTTTGTTTTACAAAAAATTTTACCTTTATTTTACAGTTACTACAAACCCTTCAAATTCATGAAATAAATGCTACAATACTATAAAAAGTTGAATGAAACCCAAAATAATGGGTTTCTTCTTCCTTAGTAATTTTAGATGTGAAATATACTTTTTTAAGCATATGAATTTTTATTTTCAAGAATTATATTCTAGGGGCTGGAGAGATGGCTCAGTAATTAAGAGCATTCTTTTTTTAAAAAAATTTTATTATTTTTATCTTATGTGTATGCATGCATTGCCTGCATGTAGGTAAGTATACTTGTGTTGTGCAATGCCTGTGGAGGTCAGAAGAGGCTGTCGGATCCCCTGGGACTGGAGTTACGGACAGCTGTTAGCTTCCATGTGGGTGCTGGGATTCGAACCCGGGTCTTCTGCAAGAACAACCAGTGTTCTTAACTACTGAGCCATCTCTCCAGCCCCAAGAGCACTAACTCTTGTTGCAGAGGAACTGAGTTCAGTTCCCAGCACCTATATAGTAGCTAGTAACTGTCCATAACTCCAGTTCCAGGGGATCTGACAGCCTTCTTCTAGCCTCCATGGGCATTGTATACATGGGTACACTTACAGATAGACAGACAAAATGTTCATATACATAAAAATTAACAACCCCCAAAAATAAAAAAGAATTTTATCTTTTGTGTGTGTGTTTATTTTATATGTAATGAGTGTTATTCCTGCATGTATGTAAGTGTACCCATATTGTGCGGTGCCAATGGAAGACAGAAGAGGGCTTCAGATCCTCTGGAAATGGAATACGGACAGTTGTTAGCTACCATGTGGGTGCTGGCATTCAAACCCAGGTCCTCTGCAAAAGCAGTGCTCTTAGCTGCTGAGCCATCTCTCCAGTCCTAATAATTGTATTTTAAATTAAACTGAGAATAACCTTTTGGCACCTGTGTCTTTTTCACAAACTAAAGTCATACTGAAAAATCAGAAAATTTTGTTAAGACTAATCTCTCATAAAGAAAAATAGCAGTATTTAACTTACTGAGAGGAGCATTGAGGTGATCGATAGATGCTATAAGATACACGTTTTGCAAAGATGACAACTGTCCAATAATTTGTTGGCTATTGTCTCCTCTCAACATTTGGCTATCCAAATTGTGGATAAGAAGGAAGAGTTCTAAAGAAGAATCTGAAAGGAAAGGGAATCCAATTACTGCTTTCAGTGAAGACTATAAAGTCCTACTACATACAATGCTTAGGTACTAAAGTAGGGTAGGAGAGAGTAACAGTGTTAGCTGAGTATGGTGAACTATGATTGTCCCAGCTACTCAGGAGGCAGAGGTGAGAGTATCACTTGTGCCTTAGCAGTTTGAGACTGGCCTGGGCAACAGAGCAAGACTCCATCTCACAAACAAACAAATTAAAAAAAAACAACACCCCCCCCAACCCAACAATAGCAATAAAACTTCTACTAAGGAGTATGCAACTTATTGAAAAACCTACTGATGGGGCTCGAGAGCTGGCTCAGTGGTTAAGAGCACTGACTGCTCTTGTAGAGGACCCGGGTTCGATTCCCAGCATCCACATGGTGGCTACCAACCATCCTTAATTCTAGTTCCAGGGGAATCCGAAGCCCTCTTCTGACCTCTGTGGCATTGCAGGACATGGATGTACTCACATACATGTAGGCAATACACTTACACACATAAAAATAAAAACAAAGAAAACAACAAACCCCCCAATGTTACTTATTCTTAAAATAGGTAAGACATGATTATCACTTGAATTAGGCCCTAAAGAAAACATTGTTGTTTTTTTTTTGGGGGGGGGGTTATTTTACTTTAATTTTATGAGTGATGTATGTATGTGCACCACATGTGTGCATTGCCCACAGAGGCCAAAAGAGAGAGTTGTATCTCCTGGAACTGGAGTTACACGTAGTTGTGAGCTGCCATGTGGGTATTGGGAATGGAACTTGGGTCCTCTGCAAAAGCAGCCAGTGCTCTTACCACTGAACCATCTCTCTAGCCCCTACAACTTTATTTATTTCATTTTTTTGTTTTTTTTTTGAGAAAGGTATGTATGTAGCCCTATGTAGCCCTGGCTGACCACCAGTGAAGACTAGGCTGGCTTCAAACTCATAGATCCAGCTGCTTCTGCCTCTCAAGTGCTGGGATGAAAAGCGTGTGCCACCATGCCTGGTTCAATTTTATTTTTATTGTACACTGTTGATTTATTAACATGGAACTTACAGTTAATAGCTTACTGTAACTCATACCCAAAGTACGCTTATATAACACAGTCCCCCCCGCCCAGCCCCCCTATTACCTTATAGCCTCTCTGTTTTAGAAATATCAAGTATTTTAGTGCTATGATTGGGGGCCATTTAAAAAAGTTAAATCACCAATAAAATCACAAATGTGAAAAATATTGTTTACAGTATCAACTTTGTCTTCAGGTATGAATGTGTGCACCAGGCAATTCAGTTACTGCTTCATACATATCTGTTTGACTGTAATAATGTTAACAATATCAGTTTTAGAGCTACAAAATGAACATTACTAAGTAGATGAATTTACAAAAATATTTAGTTCTCTGTATCTTGGTGTTCCACATCCACAGATTCAACCATAGATTGAAACATCTGAAAAAACTGTAGCTATACTGAACATATATAGGCTTTTCCCCCTGGCAATACTTAAATTTGGCATAACAAGTATAGCGTATATGTTACATTAGAGATGACAACTGATTTGAGATGATTTAACGTATGCAGGAGGATATGCATTGGTTATATACAAACACATCTTTTAAAAATTTATGTATTTTGTGTGCATATGAGGGAGGGTTCCATGGTGAGAGGACAACTTGAAGCAGGTGTGAAGGTCAAAGGACAACTTGCAGCAGTCAAGTTCTCTCCTTCCACCATGTGTGTTCCTGGAATTGAACTCAGTGCCATATTGCTGGCCCCAAATATGCCACTTTCTTTAAGGAACCTGAGCACCTGCATATTCTGGTATCCACAAGAAGTTCTAGAACCAATCTTCCCTTGGATACCAAAGGATAAGTGCACACAATATGTGAATAGTGAGTGAAAACTGACTGTACTTTGGAATTTTGGGGGAGGGGGGGCTTCTTTTAAAAAAATATTTTATTAGTAATTAAAATTAATTGTTTTTGGGTCTTTCTGAGACAGGGTCTCCCTGCAGCCCCAGCTGGCCTGGAACTCTCTATGTAGACCAGACTGGCCTTGAACTCACAGATATCTGCCTGCCTCTGCCTCCCGAGTGCTGGGATTAAAGGCATGTGCCACCACATCTGACTTTATTATTTTTATTTTATGTGTATTCCTGTATTGCCTGCATGTGTCTAAGCGCACCTGTGTCATGAAATGGCTCTGAAGGTCAGAAGAAGGTGTTGGGAGTCCCTGGAACTGGAGTTATAGACAGTTTTTAGCCACCATGTGGGTGCTGGGAATTGAACCTGGGTCCTCTGTAAGAGTAGTCTGTGCTCTTGACCGCTAAGCCATCTCTCTAGTTCTGTTTTTGTTCTTTTTTAAAAAACATATTTTATTTATTGTTTTTATTTTTATGCATATGAGTATATTGCCTGCACATATGTAGGTATACCTGTGTTGTGAAATACCAGGGGAGGTCAGAAGAGGGTGTCAGATCCCCTAGAACTGAAGTATGGATGTTTGTTAGTCACCATGTGGGTGCTAGGAACTGAACCCAGGTCCTCTGCAAGAGCAGCCGGTGCTCTTAATTGCTGAGACATCTCTCCAACCCCAGTTTTTGGGATTTCTGAGTCAGGGTCTCCCTGTAGCCCCAGCTGACCTGGAACTCAGTGTGTAGATTAGGTTGGCCTCCATCTCAGAGATCAGCCTGCCTCTGCTGGGATTAAGGGCATGCACCACCACTCCCGGCAAAACAACTGACAGTTACTATCCTAGTTAGAGCCTGAATATTCTTTACAATTTTTTGATACGCTTATACAAGCAAAACATCACACCCAGACTACCAAATCCCTCCTCCCATTCTACAGATCTTAAACACACAGAATCTATTTTCATTTAGTTGTGTGTGTGTGTGTGTGTGTGTGTGTGTGTGTGTCTGCACGTGCACATGACTGCCAGTGTACATGCCCATGCATGTACATGCATGCAGAGGCCATGGATGTTGAGTGTCTTCTTGCTGTCTGCCTTATGCCCCTGAGATAGAGTCTCTCACTGAACCTGAAGCTCACTAGTTCAGCTAGGCTGACGGACCAGTGAGCGCCTAGGATCCACCTACCTCCAACTCCCCAACGTTGGAGTTACAGGCACATGGGCTTTTATACAAGTACTCAAAATTTGACTCAGGTTTTCATACTTGCTATGCAAGTGCTCTTACCCTGCCTCCTCCCAGTGAGTCACTTCACCAACCCAGAGATTCTATAGTATATAAGATTATCTTGCGACTGAAGTGATAGCTCAGCCATTAAGAACACTTGCTGATTTTGTACTAGAGCCAGGTTTGGGTCTCAGCACACACATGGCAGCTCACAATGAATTCCAGCAGATTTGACACCCCTTTCCAGCCTTTACAAGCACCAAGTCCACACACAGTGCACATATATACATGAAGGCAAACACTCCTACACATAAATAATAATGTTTTGCTAGTTTTGTTTTTTCACGTGTCGTTCTGAAAACCAAACCTAGTCTTGCATATAATGCTAGGCAAGAGCTCTACAAACGAGCCACAAAACCCAGTCCCAGGCATAAAAATGTTTTATAAAAATATTAATATATGGGACTGGAGAAATGGGAAGCATGAGGCCCTGAGTTCAATCCTCAGGATCCATTTTTTAAAAAGGCTGGGTGCAGTAGTTTCCGTCTGCAATTCCAGTGGTGGTGTGGGGGGCGGGGGCAGAGACAGAGGATCCCTGAGGCTTGCTGGCTAGCCAGTCTAGTGGAGTTGGTGGATCCAGGGTTAGTGAGAGAATGCCTTAAAAAATAAGGTAGAAGCCAGGTATGGTGGCGCACACCTGTAGTCCCAAGCACTTGGGAGGCAGAGGCAGGTGGATCTCTGTGAGTTCAAGGCCTGCCTGGTCTACATAGTGAGTTCCAGGCCAGCTAGGGCTACAGGGAGACCCTGCTTCAAAAAGACCAAAAAAAAAAAAAAAAAAAAAAAGTTAGAGAGTGACTGAGGAAGACACCTCATGCTAACCTCTGGCCTCCACACACATAAACATGTACACAAGCCTAAAATATTAAATATAAAATGTCAAAGATGCACCAGTCAGCTATAGGCACTTCACACTGACAAAACAAAAGGAAAAAGTAGTCTGAAATAACAGGATACAGAGTTAAGACAGTATGAGTAACTCCTTTCAATTAGGTGAAATTTGTAGAACAAATTCATAAAAAGGATAAATGATTTTAGAGATGTCTAAGTTGGCACTGACTTGACTATTCATATTAAAACAATAATTTTTGTATGTAATTGCATAAATATGGAAACGTATATGTTCAACTTTACCCTGAAAACTACAGATTATTTATGTTACCTTCTTTAAATTTGTTTATTATCCAGTTTAGCTGGTCCAACACACTTCGGAACGTACCCACATGATCGAGGACTTCTTCGGTTATAGAATTCAGGATCTACATCATAAAAATGTAAGAGGTACCATATCAACTCAATTTATTCTGTCAGATAGGATAAATACAATTAGCAAATTAATCCTTTTTTATAAATTAAAAATGATTTTGGATTTCTCATAGTTTAAAAAAAATCACTGAAAATTTCACTGGGTACTTAAGTATATTTAATTCATTTTTTGGTTTAATTCATTTATGGCTGAAAGGAAACAGAGAAGAATAGCAAAGTGAAAAAATAATGTAAGAGGATGGGGGGAAAACAGTAAGAAAAAGCAGAAATCTATGAATTCGTCAAAAGCAACAAGACACAAACACTAATAATAGTAAACAAGCAACACTATGTAGCTTAATATCCACCACCAAAAATTGATTTAATTCTCAAATGATAAAAATCATGAACATGGGGCTGAAGAGATGGCTCAGCAGTTAATAGCACTGACTGCTCTTGCAGAGGACCTGGGTTCAATTCCCAGCACCCACATGGTGGCTAACAACCATCCTTAACTCCAGTTCCACAGGAATTTGATGCTCTCTTCTGACCTCTGCAGGCACTGCACAACACAGTGCACTACATACATGCAGGCAATATACTCATAGACATAAAAATAAGAAAAAAATAAAAGAAAAAATCATGAACATTTGAAGTAGTCTGATAAATGTTCTATAAAACTATCCACTATTTATATTTTTAATATGCCAAAAATGACATGAAAATGTAATTGCAGATCTATAATCCTATTCTTGGACATTCCAATGATAACTTGGTATAGTAAATAAAGGTAGCATTTTTCTAAGGATTAAGACATTTAAGTTTCATTTACGTGTGTTTGTATAGGTGCACATACATGTGGCGTACAGAGGACAAACGTGGGTCTTGTTCCTCAAGTGCTGTCTACCTACCTATCTATTTATTTAGAGATAGGGTCTCTCATTGGCCTAGATCTCACCAAGGAGGCTAGGCTGACTGGCCGATGAGCTCTGGGGCTCAGTCTATCCCTGCCTCGCCAGTACACACTACCACACCTGACTTTTTCTTCTTTAACTTGAGCTCAGGGGACTGAACTCAGATTCTCTTTACTTCCCTTATCCCATGGTCAGTTTCACAGTAAGAAATTCAAAGATGGAATTTCAAAGCTAGATTGCTTTGAATCTAAACACATGATCTTAACACTGTGCAATCTAACAAGTGTGAAAGTTGAAACAAAATCTTTTTTATTTAATGTTTGGGAACAGAAACAACATCCTCACTACTGTGAGGTTATAGCTTGGCAAAGGATATAATGTTATTCCTTTGAGCAGTTTTGAGACTTACTGATTTCACACTGATTCCAGGAAAGAAGCCATTGATGACAACATGAATGGAATTCTGAAGCATGGTGGTTCGAAATCTTTCTAGTAAATCTCTCTTAGAACCCAAACCATAAAGCACAATGTTGAACCCAAGGCTGTTAGGAAAGATAGCATTCATGAAATTAAAGTTTAAAGCTTCCAATTGCCAACTTTATTATTAACCTTTTTTTGTTATTGTTTTATTTTTTTGGGACAGGGTCTTCCTGTAGCCCCAGCTAGATATCCACTTGATTCTGCCTCCTGAATGCTGAGATTAAAAGCATGCATCACTGCACCTGGCCTCAACCATTTTTTTTTTTTAAAGCTAATAAAGATTACAGAAAAAAACCCATAAATGAATAAAATAAAAATAAAAGGCTAAATAAGTGATGTACACCTGAAATCCCAGCACCTGGGAGACAGAAGAAGTACTACATTCTTGAAGCCAGCCAGGCTACATAGTGAGGTCCTGTCTCATAAATATAAAAATAAATGAAAAAAAGTAAAAAGTACTAAGTCATCTAAATAATTATTGACTCCCAAGTAATACACAGAAAAGACACTGTTTTATTGCCTACATGAAAACTTAGTTTCAACTTTTTTGCTGACTTTTCTCCCTTCATTCCTGGAAACAAGAAAGACTAGGATCAGTACTAAACATTAAAGGAAGGCTAAAGCAGATTTGAAATTAATAGAGTAAGGGCTGGTGAGATGGCTCAGTGGTTAAGAGCACTGGCTGCTCTGCCAGAGGACCTGGGTTCAATTCCCAGCATCCACATGGCAGCTAATAACCATCTGTAACTCTGGTTACAAGGGATCTGACACCCTCTTCTGACCTCTATGGGCACTGCATGACATAGGTGCACTTTGCACTGGCTGTTCTTGCAGAAGACCAGAAGACCCAGGTTCAAATCCCAGCACCCACATGGCAGCTAACAACTGTCTGAAACTCCAGTTCCAGGGGATCCAATGGCCTCTTCTGTCCTCCACGGGCATTGCACAACATGGGTGCACTTACCTACATGCAGGTAATATACACATACACATTAAAAAAAAAAAATAATAATAAAAAAAATTAAAGAAACAAATTAAATTGGAAAGGTAAATCACACTAAAATATTAACTTTATCATGAAAAAAATGAGCTTTTAAAAGAATACAGTGTTAACTGAAAGGATTTCAGCAGGAAAGCATCTATCATTCTAGAAAGATCACACTTGTTAGGGAATAGTGAAGGGAAACAAAAGCCAAAGATGGTAGATTTGAATTAACTATCATAAAGAAAACTGTAAAATGCTCAGAGCTTTGTGGGAGGGCAAAATAATAGGATTTAGACTGATTAATATAGAGGATGAAGAAAAGGTGTTTCAGTAAACACAGTTGCTTTTGGTACTCATGCTGGATTTGGAGGAAGCAGGAAGCAGGCCTGGAGTGGGAGAATTTGTGGACCTGTACATCACGTGGAAACCACGAACAACTGCATCATTGGTGCAAAGGACCACACATCCACCCAGATGAATGTGGCCGAGGTTGGCAAGGTAACTGGCAGGTTTAAAGGTCAATTTAAAACCCAAGCTATATGCAGGGCCACTCACAGGATGGGTGAGTCAGATGATTCTATTCTTCGACTGGTGAAGGCAGACCACATCAACATTTTTTCAAAGAACTTCTGATCAGAAGAAATTGGGGATATGACTGGGCTGGAGAGATGGCTTAAGTGTTAAGAGCACTGAATACTCTTGCAGAGGACCTGGGTATGATTCCCAGCACGTACATGGCAGCTAACAACTGTCCATAACTCCAGTTCCAGGAGAGCCAATGACTTCTTCTGACCTCCTTGGATATTGCACTACATGGGTGCACCTACCTACATGTAAGCATCACACTCATATACATAAAAATAATAAATAAGGGGCTGGAGAGATGGCTCAGTGGTAAAGAGCACTGACTGCTCTTGCAGAGGACCCGGGTTTGATTCCCAGCATGGTGGCTATGAACTGTCCTTAACTCCAGTTCCAAGGGGACTCTGATGCCCTCTTCTGACCTCCATGGCATATATATATACTTTAAAAAATAGTAAGTAAAAAAAATTTGTTTTTTAAAAGTTTTCTGTTACAGATAATTACACAAATGGGGTGACTGATGTGTCCTGTGCTAGGTAGGGGGCACAGGAGAGACTGTTAATCAGATGATGTCAATTTTATGTATATTCAGTTATTTATAGACCATCCAGGTGGGATGTTCCAACATATATTCTGATAGTTACATCTACTGCTGCTGCTGAGTCGGAGATAACACTCAGGAGAACCGTTTACCTAAAAAGAACAAGAGAAGCCAAGCCAGTGGGAGAGTGAATGGGGTCAAATCCACGTACATAATTATTTTAAAAGAATTTTTTATGTGTATGAATGTATTTCCTGCCTGTATGTAAGTGCACCTGTGTCATGCAATGCCCAAGGAAATCAGAAGAGGGTGTTGGATCCCCTGGAACTAGAGTCATAGATGGTTGTTAGCCACCATGTGGGTGCAAGTCCTCTGCGAGAGCAGTCAGTATTCTTAACTGCTGAGCCATCTCTCCAGCCCCATATCTGTAATTATCTATAGAGAGACCAGTCAGACACAGTATTTATCTGATATCCTACCCTCAGGAATGCAAGATAGCCCAGAAATAGAACAGGAATGATATTACCCTGGAAGGTATTAGCAAGGTCCAAAAACCTGAAAGAGGCAAGGGAATTAAGAGTGCTAGCAAGTCCATTAAGTAGCTGACTATAGGTCCAGACTGAGAAGCAAAGCAAATCAAGCTATCCTGAGTTGACATTGTTAAAAGGACAAATTGGTAGGCCGGGGAATGGGATAAAAGCACAGAACTGTTGTACAAATTCATAGTGCACACATCCATAGCTACCAAGAAAACTTGAGGTCCTCGCCGGGAAGATAATCATTCTTTTCCCAATATAAACACTGGACATAATGCTAAAAATAACCCAGGGTCAACTGTGATAATCTCCATGTTCTTATTGCTACAACTGCTTGCTTGGTTTCTGTTTCTCTGCTTTTTGTCTCCCTGCCTCTAATCATGCTCAATCCGTACTCTCCTTTCCTCCCTCCCACACAGAAAATGAACCTAAGACCTCACAAATACTAAGTACAAACTCTACAATGAGATAGAGCCCCAGCCTTTTTTTGTTATTGTTGTTTTCAATTTTGACATGGTCTTCCTAAGTGACTCGGGTCCATCTTTATATCTGCTTTCTTATTTTCCACCGTGACTATACATTTGTAAATGTGTAGGTATGCCGGGCATGGTGGCACACACCTTTAATTCCCACACTTGGGAGGCAGAGGCTGGCGGATCTTTGTGAGTTCAAGGTCAGTCTGGTCTACATAGTGAGTTAAAGGCCAGCAGGGACTACAGGGAGACCCTGTCTCAAAAAGACCCAAAAAAGGGGCTGGGCGTGGTGGGGCACACCTTTAATCTCAGCACTTGGAAGGCAGAGGCAGGCAGATCTTTGTGAGTTTGAGGCCAGCCTGGTCTACATAGTGAGTTCCAGGACAGCTGGGGCTACAGGGAGACCCATTCTCCCAGAAGCTGGATTACAGGTGTGCGCCCCCACACCTGGCATCATATATATATATATATATATATATATATATATATATGCTTATATCAGTGTACATTTAAAGCACTTACAGCTTTTTCTCATTTCTTAATTTTTGTTTTTTTTGAGACAGAATCTCATGCAGCCCAGGCTGGCCATGAACTTACTATGCAGCTGAGGTGACCCTGAAATCTTGATCCTCCTGCTTCTACCTATCAAGAGCTAGAACTGGAGTTGGAAGATGGCTTAGCAGTTAAGAACACTGGCTCTTCTTGCAGAAGTCCCAGGATCGAATCCCAGCACCCATATGGAGGCTAAAGACCATCAGTAACTCCAGTTCCAGGGGATCTGATGCCCTCTTCTGTCCTCCTACGGCACTGCATGACACTGGTGTACTTAAACACATGCAGGTATAACACTCATACACATAAAAAACAAAACAAAACAAAACAAAGGAAGCTAGATGTGGCGGCATAGGCCTGCAGTCCCAGCACTTGGGAGGCAGAGGCAGGTAGAGCTCTGTGAGTTCAAGGCCAGCCTGGTCTACATAGTGAGTTCCAGGCTAGCTGGGGCTACAAGAAGACCCTGTTTCAAAAAGACCAAAAAAAACCCCACAAAAAACAAAACTACCACCACAACAAAAATACAAAGGAAAATAAGAAATCAAATGTACTATTTTTTCTTTTTAGGGTTTCACACATGCAAAGTAAGCAGTCTACTATTGAGGTATAGTGCCAACTTGACAATCAAATAAACTAAATTATGTTTTAACACAAAGATATACACATACACATTATTTTTTATTGTGCAATGGTTTGTAATACTTACTGTAATTGCAGCATCCACTTATGAAATTGTTTCTCATACTGTTGATTTAACTGTTTAATTTCAGCAGAAAAGGAAGGAGAAAATTTGCTCAATAAGTTGCGCAGAGTTTGCTTTAAAAAGAGAGTGAGAGACTGTTAGTGGAAATGACTTTAAATAGGTATGGAAATCAGTACACTGTCTGAATACACACAGCATACAGCATATCAAATCTTACTTAAATATTTGCTTTCTTAAAGTTCTTTTATTGTAAATATGTAATAACAATAAAATTCCAATTATAAAGCTTTAATATCTAAAAAAACAGTTATTATAAGATGATCAAACCTGCTTTCCAGTTTTCATAACAAATTCAGACAGACAAAACAAAATGAAACCGCCAACAATAACTACCCTCCCTCCTGCCCCATGGATTTGGAGCCGCAGCTCAGTGGTAGTGTTTGCAAGTATGAAGTTCCAGGTTTGACTCACAGTACAAGAGTAACACAATCAGAAAGTACCAAACTTGTAGATTTAAAAACAATGTAAGCAGTAAGGTAATTCAGTATTAATCTCTGGTAAACATTAAAGTTTATTACTTACCATTATCAATAATGAACTTCTATTACTGCTCTTTTTCAAAAGGTTATTTCTAATAAATTCTGTATCACTGATAAGCATGTGTTGTAGTTTGGATATAAAGTGTCCCCTCAAAAGGCTTGTGGGTGAAGGTTTGAGCCCTGCTATGGAATGAAAGCTCTGAAACTGGGAGCCAAAATACGTCTCCTGGTCTTACGTTGTTGTTCAAATATTTTATCACAATGATGAAAAATGACTAACATAGCATGACAAATAGAAATATAAAAACACTGGGGGTGGTGCATTGTCCTGCCCACCCCCAGCCCCAAACATGGAAATGTATGCTGGTGAAACAAATATGATTTTTTTGGGGGGGTCTTTTTGAGACAGGGTCTCCCAATAACCACAGCTAGCCTGGAACTATGTAGACCAGGCTGGCCTTGATCTCACAGAGATCCACCTGCCTCTGTCTCCTGAGTGCTGGAATTAAAGGTGTGTGCCACCATGCCTAGCTTAAATATGATTCATTTTCTGATACAAAAATTTTGGCAAAAAGCTATCTATGTATCTTTAATACCACATTTTTATTTTTGGTTTTACATGTATTTTGTGTGTGTGTGAATGCCCATGTGTCATGGACATGTGTGGAGGTCAGAGGTCAACTTGCAGGAGATGGTTCTCTCCTGCCACCACATGCATTCTAGGGATCAAACTCAGGGCATCAGGCTTGGTGGCAAGTGCCTTTATCCTATGAGTCACCTTGCTGACCTTGATGTACTTTTTATACTGGAGTAGAGTTACAATCAATATTCCAAATATTCTATCCTATAGTTTTTACCCACATATTTAATGAGAAAAAGACTCTTCTTAGTAAATTGTAAAAAAGACTCTTCTTAGTAAATCTACCTTAGTAAATAGGTAGTATTTAAGCTCTCATCTAGTGATATTTAGAGCCCTGAACAAGCAGAAAAAGCATTACTATCATTTTCAGTTGTTTTTTATACTAGAATGTCTGAGGATATTTACTTGAGTGTGAACTCTGGAATATTATTCTCATCTGTGCACTTCCACTTCAATTATCAACACTCAGGGAGACCCACCCATACCTTCTACCATGTGACTCTGCTGTCCCTCCTACTAAATGAGTGGAGTCTCGTTCTCTGCCTCTTGATTTTACTTTCAGTCATGTGTTTGGTATGGCCACTAGAATGAGGCACAAAGAACACTGCCAGTATTTTTTTTTTTTTTTTTGGTCTTTTGAGACAGGGCCTCCTTGTAGCCCTAGCTGTCCTGGAACTCACTATGGAGACTAGGCTGTCCTTGAACTGCCAGAAATCTGCCTGCCTCTGCCTCCCAAGTGCTGGACTACAGGTGTACACCACCACACCTAGTTATATTACCAGTTTTTGTTTTTTTTTTCCAAAATTTATTTGTTATTTTTATTTTATGTTTGTGTATTGTCTGTATGTAGGTAAGTGCACCCGTGTTGTGCAATGCCCATGGAGGACAGAAAAGGCTGTCGGATCCCTTGGGACTGGCTGGAGTTACAGACAGTTGTTAGCTGCCATGTGGGTGCTGGGATACGAACCCGGGTCTTCTGCAATAACAACCAGTGTTCTTAACTGCTGAGCCATTCTCCAGCCCTCCTTGCCAGTTTTAACCCCAGGCTTTAAGAGGTTGTCTGTTTTTCTACTTCTTCCCTTAAGCCTCTATCATCATAATGAAAATATTCCTCAGCTAGCCCATGGTCCAAGACAGACATGGGAGAAATCCTAGACTGCCCAACTTCCAGCTAAACCACAGACATAAGAAATAAATGCTTATTGTCACATGCTATGCTGTGTCTACAAGTCCCTTCTTTCAATATCATTGACATTATTTCTTAGATTCTCTTAAGAGATATTTTTTTGCTAATAGGTCTGATTTAGACCCTAGATCCATTTATTCTCTCATGTTTCTTATATTAAAAATAAATACAAATAGTCTTTTTTTTTTTTTTTTTCCCTTGGAACTACTTGGTTATCTGACATTTATTTTTTTCTATTTATTTATTTATTTGATTTTTTGGAGACAGGGTCTCACTCTGCAGCCATGACTGGCCTGGAACTCACTTTGTAGATCAGGCTGGTCTTGAATTCAGTGATCTGCCTGCCTCTGCCTCCCAAATGCTAGGATTAAAGTGGTATGGCATCATGCCTGACAATTATTTACATATATTAATACTTACGTGTTTATTGCAGTATTCACAATAGCCACGATGGAACTACTAATGGATAAGGAAATGCAGCCTATACACACAGTAATTTCAGTTTTAAGAATATTGACATTGCCACTTTACAACACGGATGCATTTATTATGAATGTGTATAAACCCATTTACGTGTGTATGTACATGTACTTATGTGTTTGCTGGTTACATGTTTCCACATGCATGTGAAACTGATAGGTCAGGTGTCTTCCTCAATTACTCTGAACCTTATTTTTTGTTAGATTTTATTTATTTTTATTTTTATGTGTATGTGAGTGCCTCCATGTATGTATGTATACTATGTGCATGTCTGGTGCTCTCAGAGGCCAGAAGAGAATGTCAAATATCCTGGAACTGGAGTTATAGGGGTTGTGGGCCACCTGGTGTGGGTGCTGGGCACTGATTCAGGTCCTCTCAAAGAGTAGAAAGCCCTTTTAACCACTGAGCCATCTCTCTAGCCCCTTGACCTTCTTTTTTGATAGGATTTCTTTTCTTTCTTTTTTAAAAATTTTATTATTTTTAGTGTGTATGATATGGATATGTGAATTCAGGCACATACATGCCACCTGTGGACGTCAAAAAACAACTTTTGGGGATCAGTTCTCTTCTTCCATTGTGGGATCTGAGGATTGAACTCTGGTCTACAAGTTTGCACTGCAAATGCTTTTACCCACTGAGCCATCTACCTGGCCTTGAGATAGGGTTTCTCACTGAACCTAAAGCTCACTGGCTGGCTAGACTAGCTGGCAAGCAAGTCCCAGAAGACCTGTCTCCAATTCCCCAGAGCTGGGATTATAGGTGCCTATCATCACACCTGGCTTTTTTATGTAGGTGCTGGGGATAAACTCAGTCCTCATGCTTGCACAATAAGCACTTACCAACTGAGTGATCTCTCCTGCCCCTCTGACACGTTTACTTATTTATTTATTTATTTATTACTTGAGACAAGGTCTCACTATGTAGCTTTAACTGGCCTAGAACCCAGTATGTAGACCAGGTTGGCCTTGTACTCACAGAAATCTCCCTGCCTCTGCCTGAGTGCAGGATTAAAGGCACACACCAGCACGACCAGCTGACAGTTATTTATTTTTAAATATTTTATTATTGGGCTGGAGAGATAGCTCAGCAGTTAAGAGCACTGGCTACTCCTGCAGAGGACCCGGGTTCGATTCCCAGCACCCACATGGTGGCTACGAACCGTCCTTAACTCCAGTTCCAGGGTGCCACCTCCAGCTTATAACTTCTTTTGACTAAAAGGAATTTTCTGTTTGTTTTGATCACTTATTATTTTTATTTTATGTGTATGAGTGTATTGCCTGCATGTGTGTGAGTGTACCCATGTCCTGCAATGTCCACAGAGGTCACAAGAGGGCTTCATATCCCCTGAAACTGGAGTTAAGGATGGTTCGTAGCCGCCATGTGGATGCTTGGAATTGAACCCAGGTCCTCTGCAAGAGCAGCCAGTACTCTTAACTTGAGCCACCTCTCCAGCCCCCTCTGATAGTTGTGTGTGTGTGTGCGTGTGTGTGTGTGTGTGTGTGTGTGTGTGTGTGTGTGTGTTTAGACAGGGTCTCCCTGTAGCCCCAGCTGGCCTGGAACTCACTACGTAGACCAGGCTGGCCTCGAACTCAGAGAGATCTGCCTGCCACTGCCTCCTGAGTCCTAGGATGTCATTTTTAACTAGTCTCTGATCTTGCCTCAATACCAATGACCTGAGTGAGAAAAACAACACAAACCCCACACATGCAGCACCATGTTATTCAGTTGCAGAGCCTCACCTTATACTCTCCTGTATCTTTTCTCCATCTGGAAACATCTGTTAAAAGCCTTTAATTCCAGCACTCGGGAGGCAGAGGCAGGCGGATCTCTGTGAGTTCAAGGCCAGCCTGGTCTACACAGTGAGTTCCACGACAGCTGGGGCTACAGGGAGACCCCATCTCAAAAAGACAAAAAAAAAAAAAAAAAAAAAAAAAAAAAAAAAAACTGTCAAAAAAAAAAAAAAAAAAAAAAAAAAAAAAAAAAAAAAAAAAGCCTGTTCTCCTTAAAAAATCCACTGAATTATGATTTGCACTGTACAGATCGAGGATCTTGAAAATCTAAAATGCTCCAAAGCTCCAAATGTTTTGAGTGCTGACATGCTGCCACAAGTGGCAAGTTCCACACCTGAACTCATAAGATACAACAGTTAAGGCAAGAGAAGCACTGAAAACATTGTATAAAATCACCTTCAGTGTATGTGTCTTCCATATGTAAGTAGTATAAATGAATTCTGGGTTTAGACCTAGGCCTCATCCCCAAGATATCTTA